CCTTTAAAATTTTTTTCCAGCCAGTAGTTAAAGAAAATAGCACGGAAACGTTTATGCCTGTTTTTTAAACTCCCAATTATGGGGTAAAACCTGTTTTTTGCCCAAAAGGGCACAATAGCGTTTCCCCTTTTGGTTTTAAACCCAATAAGTTTTTAAACCCACAGTATTCGAGATGCAGGAATGATATTTTTAAATTCAAAATGCATACTACGGGGCCCAACCGATTAAAGTGTCTGCCCGGGAAAACAACAAATGCCATCTCCCTTGTATAAGTTTCCCCAAAAGTTTCATTAAAATTCCACCCAGTAGTTGAGAGAAGTGGGCCGAGAAACAATTTTTTCTCATATGCTCGCATAACTAATTTAAAGGGGCCGTAACCGATTTTAAAGGTCTGGGAAAGGCCAATATGCGATCTCCTTTTGGTATTGAAGATTCCCCATAAATTTTTCATTGTAATTCCAGCCAGTAGGTGAGAAGAAGTTACGCAAAGAAAACAATTTTCTCTATAATGCAAACTGAATAACTAATCAAGGGCCGTAACTCTGAGTTAACAGTGGTCGTACCGGAACCAGGGCAACAATATGCGCCCCTTTGGTATTCGAAGGTCCCATACAGTTTCATGAATTTCCAGCCTTTTAGTTTGCAGAGAGTAGCGCTGAAAACATTTACTCTATATCATACTGCCTAACTTACAAGGCCGTAAATCGAGTTATAAGTGTCTGACCGGGCCCCCCAAGCTACAATTAGCCAATCTCCCTTGGTATTTGGAAGGTTCCCCCAAAAATTTTTGGGTTGAATTCTAGGCAGTAGTTGCAGAGAAAGTAGTGCGGAAACGTTTTTTACTTTATGCAACTACATGAACGAATCAAGTGCCATAACTTTCTGAGTTAAAGGGTCTGACCCTTAATTGATGATTCCCATAAAGTTTCGTTGAATTCCAGCCAGTAGTTGCAGAGAACTACTCCGGAAACGAAATTTGGACGGACGGATGGACAACGCCAAAACTATATCCCCCTCCCGATTCCATCGGTGGGGGATAATAAACATTTTTTTTGTTAAAATCAAGCACACTATGATTTATACATAAAAAATGTAGATTCTTTTTCAAAACCTAGTCAACTACACAAATCAGGTTTCTTGGCCTAAAATGCATGCTTCTTTATCTGTATGGCAATAAGGGGCAGAACATAAGGTTTTTAGACTTATTATACACTGCAAGTGAGCAAAATATCACATAGGCTCTTAATTATTTCTCTTGAGGTAAGTGGCCTTTATATATGGCCACAATAAGATTATTCCGGAAAGCAATTTAAAACCTTAAAAAAATTCCCATTTTGGTTTAAACATAAAACTATTCAAAATATGCAAAGTATTATTTTTAAAAAATAAAGCTTCAAACCGGGTAAAATAGCTAAGGGGCTCTCCTTTTTAATTTTTTTTAATGAAGTTTCATTTTTAAGTTTGCAGGCATTTACTTTTTTCAAGCCAAAAATGAAAACCATTTTATCCCACCCTTTAGAATTTAAAAGGGCAGTAACATATGGGCAATTTGCATATCTTTTTCCAAAAAAAGATGAGGAAAAAAAAAAAAAATAATAAAAAAAATTACCACAAACGGGAAATTTTTTCACTCCACAGTCTTCATTGTACACCCAACCAGTTATCCAACAGAGAATCCCCAAGATCACGGTAAACATGCCTACAATGTACATTACACAAGTAGACAGTACCCATTTTAAAGGGGCTCCCATGTTGGGACAAGTTTCAAAAAAGGAAATGAAATATTTAAATAAGATATACTCCAAAAAAACTTAATATATTTATAATGGTTACGTTTTACATGGCACCAACACAGTAAAGGTCATACTGCAACTTTTCAGCTTTACTGGTGGAGGAAGTCTGCAATGACCCTCTGTGTATAATTTTCGGCAGAAACCGGCACCTGAGTAGAACCACTGACATTCCGTAAGCTAGCTGGAAAGCTTCCTCACATGAAAGAATCCAAAGTTGCTGTCAGGATTTGAACGCACAGTGGTAAGAGGCAAGTGGTTTGAAGTAAACAACCTTAAACTATATGAACATAGATGCCTAAAACTTAATATAGCTTTACACTTACCAGAAAGGAGAAATAAAACATTGATATTTACTGGGTATATCAAATACATATGCTTAGGACTTTAAACACTGTGGGCACTGTAGTAATAGTTATCTAAAATTGTAAATTGTTTATGACCCATGTTTGTATTTTTTTCCCGCATAAGTACGAAAAATGTCTTCTATACTGAAAAATTTCAATGAAACCTAAACAGAATCGAACATCAAGAAGTAATTTGATATTTTCAATACAGAAAATAAAATTGTTAAGTAAAATACAACAAGAGGGCCATGATGGCCCTGAAATCGCTCACCTGTATATAGGCCCCCGGGGAGGGGCCAATTTTAACCCAGGGGCTTTTATTTGAACAAACTTGTTAGACACCCATTTGAAGATGATTCATGATAAATATCTAAGCTCTAGCTCTTAGAAGATTTTTTTAAGTTTTTGCTATACACATATAGGGAAAAAACAATGACCCCCCCCCCCTTTGGCGGGCCAATTTGTCCCCAAGGCTTTTATTTGAACAAACTTTGTAGACACTCACTAGAAGGAAATTCATGCTTGATACCCAAACTTCTAGCTTTTTTGAGTTTTTTTAACAGAACATTTTTTTAAAGTTTTTACTATATACATAAAGGAAAATCAATGATCCCTGGGGCGGGGCCAATTTTAACCCAAGGCCCTTATTTGAACAAAAATGGTAGACACCCATTAGAAGATGTTTCATGCTAAATATCTTAGCTCTAAAGTATTTTTAAAGAAGATTTTTTAAGTTTTTACTATATACATAAAGGGAAAACAATGACCCCCTGGGGGGTGGCCAAATTTGACCCCAGGGCTTTTATTTTGAACAAACTTGGTAGACACCCACTAGAAGGATGTTCTATGCTAAATAGCTAAGCTCGTAGCTATTTGGGTTTTTTAAAAGAAGATTTTTAAGTTTTTACTTTATACAAATAAGGAAAATCAATGACCCCCCCCCCCCTCGGGCAGGGCCAATTTTAACCCCAAGGCATTTACTTGAACAAACTTGGTAAACACTCACTAGAAGATGTTTCATGCCAAATATCTAAGCTCTAGCTCTTTGGGTTTTTAAAAAAAGATATTTTAAGTTTTTTCTTTTGGTTGTCATGGCAACCAGAGTTCTGCTTGGAATTAAATACTTTGAACAATTTTTTAAGTTAACTACCAAAGGAACATTCCTGTGAAATTGGCTTAGTGATTTATGAGGAGATGTTATTTAAAGTAAAAGTTTACGAACGGACGCCGGACGAAAAGCGATCACAAAAGCTCACCATGTCACTTTGCAACAGGTAAGCTAAAAAAAAAAACCCCAGAATTTTATGACTCACCACATGTAACACTGCCTTGAAGTTCCCACTCGCCATTATTTCCACAGGTTATTTCTGCTGTTCCACTGATGGAAGAGCCAAGGTTACATGTTACCGTAACAACTGTTACCTCATTGTCGGTGGAATATGTCACAGATCCATTATCAGGAATGTTGAATGTGTTGCATTGAACTGAAGATCATATGTAGCTCATAAAGTTTAATTACAATTATATGAAAACTAGGCTTCATATTCTACACATCACAAACTGTTTTACTTTAAATAAAATAAAATTGTGTCTGCTTAATAAATATAAAACAGTTAGGTTATAATCAATTATGTATTATAAGCACATTCTAGTATGTATTACTTAGAATTCTTACAATAAATGAAAAGGTAAATAACAAGAGCTGTCTTTAACACACTCAACTATTTTCTATGCTTGACAATAAGAAAAGGGCATAACTCATTATGTTTTAGACATTTTTTTAATTAAGAAAAACTGGCAACATATTGTAAAGACAAAGAAATCAAACATTTGATTAATGAAACTGGCCTTTCATATTTCACTCATAAGCACATATTACAATTTGGACTGCACAATTACGATTTTCTATGGCATAGTGCATTTTAATGTAACAAAATGACAATAACTTTAAATTACTTCTTTTAAGCTCCTGAAATAGGAAACATTTTCTTGAAATTCAGGAAAACAACACACATTTTGGCATTGGATACATGACCAAATATCAGCCATCAAAATGGGCCAGAAAAAACCTTGAATGATATATTTAAAGAGAATATAATTTCAGTTCTCACCACAAGAAGGTACAGTTCCATTCCATCCTGTCCCATCTGTATTACACACGAGAGTAGCACTGCCAACCATAGTAAAACCAACATCACAAGAGAAGATAACTCTATCCCCTTCTGCTGACACTACAGCAGATCCATTTCCAGGCACATCCAAAAGGTCACAAACTATAATAACATATATCAATGACTCTGAAAAGTTACATTTTTATTGCATAGGCTTTGGGAGGTCATATAAGTTAAGGGCAAACAGATCTACCAATGAATGCTAGAAATTTTTTTTATTAAAAAGGGCTATGGGAAGTCATAACAATACATGTAAATCATAAATAGATCTACCAATTAATGCCAGAAATTATATTTTCATTAAAAGCGCTATATTTAGAAGTGGAAGTTCACACACAAAACTTACAAATTACACATTACAAATCCTAAACAATATTTCCTTTCTTGATATTACTTTTGTTGATGTGAATATAATTATTCTTATTATAACAGCACATTCAATAATATTTACTGTGCATTATAGGTCCCATATGATAAAATACATTAATAGCCTCTTAAATTAGATAAATGATCCTTAAATGTTGTGAATAGCAAAATGATAACAATTAAAATCATCAGATATTAATAATATATTGTATTACTCACTGCAAACAGGTTTTGATCCTGACCAGATACCAGCAGTGTCACAAGTTCTATTACTATCACCTACTAAATGATATCCCACAGCACATGTATATTGCACATATGTAGATGTACCACTGGTATCTACTGACATATCGCCACTGTTCATGTTTTTTAACGCCTCGCACGGAACTGAAATACATATATCCCTTTTAACATCTTAATTTATACATAATTCTAGTTTGATTGTATCTGAAGCTAAAACCTTAAAGACACACTCTGTAGTCTGTTCCTGGAACAAACCAGCACTGAGCAATGGGTGTAAAGTTAGCTGCTAAAGGAAACAACAGCTTGCCCCTGACAGAGTTTGAACCAATACAACAAGCCATTCTTAAACTACTTATCTTTAGATTATTTGTCCGATGCACTAACCACTTGGCCATGCTGCCACACTTCTTATTCAATTATCAACTTCTTATTCTTATATTTTAATACATAGTAACTTCTATCATAAAATAATTTCACATATTTAACCATTTAACATTTATCTGATTTTGTGTAATGAACTTAATGTCATACCTTTACTTTTGGAGTAGCTTATTGAGGAATTTTAAATTAAAAGAACTGAAAATGGCAACAGCATATTCTATTAAGTCTGCTAAGGGCAGTACTTTACGATGGATCTTCAAATTGTTGGACAATGTGCTATCAGGGTTGCCAGCATCATAGATAAATAAAATTCCCTGACTTTTCACTGACCAAATTAGGTTTTTCACTGACCAAAACTACCCCAAACTTAAACGGTCTCCACCTCCCCTACAGCCGTCCAATTCATCCCAGGACTTTTTTTTCCTTCTATAGCAGGGGCCATTATAGGACTGTTTCCCCAAAAAGAAATTCTTTAAAATCATGCAGTTTTCCCACAAAATAGAATTTACATCAAGTTTTTTCTTCCCCTTTTGCAAAATATACCATTAATTTATCCCCAACCTGTGAAAAAAAAAGCCCTGCACCCATAAGTTTTTTTATTGTTTTTTTTTAATGCTTTTAACAATATGTCAATAAAACATGCTTTATACATATAAGTTTGGTAGTTTTCTGTTCAGTAAAATGTTTTTTGATAAGATCAAGTCTGAAGCAAAACAATTATCTTGAGCTACAGAATACTGCCATAGCCAATATAATTAATAACAAGAGGGTCATGATGGCCCTGAAATTACTCATCTGAATATATAAAAACTCTCCATGAACAAGAATAATTTTGACCCCAGGGCTTTTATTTGAACAAAGTTGGTTAAAAACCCATTGGAAAATGTTTCATGCCGAATTTTAAGCTCTAGCTCTTTTGTTTTTTAAAAGAAGACTTTTTAGTTTTTACTATATATACATATTAGGAAAATCAATGAACCCCATGACTGGACAAGTTTTGACCCCAGGGCTTTTATTTTAACAAACTTGGTAGACACTTACTAAAAGATGTTTCATGCCAAATATCACAGCTCTACCTCTTTGTGTTTTTCAAAGAAGATTTTTTTTTGTTTTTTACTATGTACATAAAAGGAAAATCAGTAACCCCTGGGGTGGGGCTTATTTTGACCCAAGGACTATTTGAACAAACTTGGTAGACACACACTAAAAAAGGTTTCATGCTTAATATCTAAACTCTAGCTCTTTTGGGTTTGTTACAAGAATTTTTAAGTTTATATAAACATAGAAGGAAAATCAATGACCCCCTTGACTGAGCAAATTTTGACCCAATGGCTTTTATTTGTACAAAATTGGTAGACACTCACTGAAGATGTTACATGCTTAATATCTAAGCTCTAGCTCTTAAAGAGGTGAACATTGTTTTTTTCCAGTTTTTACTTCATACATATAAGGAAAATTCTTCAAAATTATTTTTCCCTGACTTTTCCCTGACTTTTTAGGATTTTTATTCTTCACTGACCAATTTTCAAAATTCCCTGACAATTCCCTGACCTTGAAAAAATATCAGATTTCCCTGACTTTTCAAGTCTGCTGGCAACCCTGGCTATTGTAGGTGCTATTCTTAAATTAAAAAATATTTGATGTCATAAAAGTAGCAATGTATTACTGCCACCCTCAGTTTAAATACAGTTGACAGTAATTTTAGCCTTTTTGAAAACTCTTCAAAGTGGAGGTAATGCATTGGTGGGAGGGGGGGCGCATACCTTAATATGAAAAAGTACAAACCACAAGATGGCTCAGAGAAATCCCAACTTCCAGATGATCTACATGACAACTGTTGAAAACCTTTCAAAGTGTAACCAACATTACATTGAAAATTAGCATATGTTACACTATTCATTGAGCCTAGAGTTACAATGCCATTGTCAGGACTTGAAACTGTCGCACAGGACACTGAAATATTGAAGCAAAAAGTCAGGTACAGGTAATTCATGTAAGAAATTGTTTGCAAAAAAATTTCACAACTAATTTCATTTGCTGTGTTTGATATCCTATTAAGCCTTAAAAGAACTCCACTGAGATCCAAAAACCTAAACATAAAATTTGAATCTCTTGATAGATCAAATTTGACACTTAAAACAGAAAGATTTGCAAAAGTTACTTAAGAAATATGCTCAGAATAAATAAAAAAAATCATATTTTTGTGCTATTTAAGCCGGATTTTAGTGTAACAGCATTGAAAGGCATTTAAATTTTTGATTATTTTTCACAATATGAATAATCAATCATTCTGGAAAATCGGAGGGAGCAAATTATCTGAAATTTTGCACATAAGCTATTGGTCTATACATACATCGAATGGAACAATTATCTTGAAAAATTATATCCAGTTATGTCACGTCAAAAAACCTCAGTAGAGTCCCTTTAATTAATTCAGATAATACAATACAATACATTATAATACAATAATTGAATCTTGTAATTTGTCAAAAAATACCAACAATATAGATTCAAACTTCAGTAACCATAGCTTTTAGCATTTAAGCATAAATCATAAAACAAATATTTCATAAAAAGTAGAAGAAAAAAACAACAACAACAGACTTACATCAATACAACACATGAATATGCATGTATGAATTCTCATTTTTGTTTATAACTAATTATTTTTACCACAAACAGCTGTAGAAAAATCCCATGTTCCATCAGAGCGACATTTCACTGTTCTGGTACCACTGATGGTGTATCCTGTTTCACAAGAAATTACAGCACTTGTTGACAGTCCATCAGTTTCCATAGAAACGTTACCCCCTGGTGGTGAATTTAATGATTCACAAGTAACTGAAAAGTAACAAGAAACATGGCAATGTCATGAAACAGAGCCACTGCAAGCAGGGGTCAAGGGTCATAGCATTTTCTTATTAACAGAATACTTTATTAGATAAATGTTACAAAAGGTCAAGGCAATATATTGGAATTTCTCAATATGATGATGTTTTAGTAACAGTGACCTTGACTCTAGGGTCCAAAAAAGCAATCCAAAGCCAACTGTCTCTGTATAAACTTGCTATACATCAAGTATAACTTTAATATCTCAAAACTAACTAAACTTTAATTATATACTGGAAACCACTAGACCTTGACCCGGAGTCAAAAAGCACTTTACATGAGCTTGCTTTATACCAAGTATGATAAGAACATTTTTTTATAATTCATTTATTGCCCTTTTTTTCATCTGCTGATTGTCATAAATTTTCAGTAATACTACTTTTTATAAAAGGGAAATAAAAGTTTAAAACAAAAATGAGGCTCAGAATGGCTTACCAGTATAATTCTCATTTGAGTACAAAGGATATAGAAGTTTGCCTAAACTGAAAGTTCATTTGTGTTCAAAGGAAATACAAGTCTGTCATAACCAAAAGCTCATTTGAATAAATAGGAGGTAAAAACAGCAATAAATAAGAGCTTCATTCAGTATAAAGGAAGAATACATCTGTAGTAAACAAAAGCTCATTTACAAACAAAGGAATAAGAAATCATCATAACCAAAAGCTCATTTAAGTGCAATGTATAACAAATTGTTATAACCAAGAGCTCATTTCAGTTCAAAGGAAGTACAAGTCTTAAATATTGAAGAGCTCATTGGAGCACAAAGGAAGCAAAAGTCTTTTGTGTCCAAAAGGAAGTCAGGTCCGTAATATTCAAGAGCTCTATGAAGCACAAAATTTGCACAAGTCTGTCATAACAAAGAGCTCATTTGTGAAGGAAGTACATGTGTGCACTAAACTAAATAAGAAGCGTTTCAGCGCAATGTAATGCCTATCTTAGTACAAATACAATATCTCCTATTTATTTTTGTTTAACATACCACATGTAGGGGCAGTCCCATTCCATCCTGTACTGTCATTGTTACACACTCTGATATATTCCCCATACAAGGTATATCCAGTATCACATGTGTATGTTGCTAGGTAACCATTACTAATTACATTACCATCAACAAGATTTGTAGGATCAGCACATACTAAAATAAATCAAAACTGGTACTTTTATAAAATGTTCATATCCAAGTAAGCAGTAAGTTTATATGTAGTTCCTAGTATTTTTTATAGGATATGGATGTCCTCACATTCCATTGTTGTCAGTCCACAAACAGTGTTACATCTAGAGCGATGGACTGACAAGGGCGTTTCTATATTCCCCATCCCAGCATCAAGTTTTAAGAGGGGGCATAAATACCGTGAAATCCATAAAATTGTTTAATTTCTATGTTGGTTTTTACTTCATTTTGAGCTTTTTATCATTCATTTTGTGCTTTGTATCAAAAATGCTTAACACATTATTTCAAAAGTTCTTGATGGTTATATATAGATGTTTAATGAAACAACTATTGTGATGTAAGAGTTAATGGTAGGTAAGTGGCAACACTCACCACATTCAGGTGTATTTGACGTCCATTGACCACTAGAATTACAGCTTCTCACTCCCTCTCCAACAAGAATATAACCTGTATTACAACTATAGGTAACTGTACTTTCTGTACCATTTGAGGAAATGGCGAAACTTCCACTAGAAGGTGCACTGATCTCTTCACAAGAAACTTGAAAAAGAAAGAAAAATTCAATAGGTTTTATGTATAAATGTGTTAAAGATATAAAATTTCTTTTTTCTGCAGTCAAATACCTATTCTATGCAAAGATTACACAAAATCAAAACAGTAAATCTATAAGACCTGCTTTCATTTCCCTTATTAAAATAATATGAAACATTTTTTTGAAGTAAAGAAATACATATCAAAATAATTACAGTATTAAAATTCAACTAAACTTATAACTACCGTGCTCACTATGTATCAACTTTTTTCAGTAAAGTTGTGTATAAAACGTAGGAAAAAAATCTCAAATTTGTGTCTGCAGACAGTGCACTCCACTTTTCTCTTGGATAGTTAAATAAAATCGAATATAGAAAAGGGGGCATATTTTGCAAAAAAAATATTTTATCATATGGCAATAAACATGCATACCAAGTTTGAAGTGAATGACTTTGAGAGTTTCTGAGAAAATGGACCTAAATGAAAAGTTTTCAAAAGCCAATGCCGATGTGAGGTTCAATTTTTAACAATAGATTCATTTTTTTTATTGAAAAGTGGAGCTTAAAAGCAAAAAAGTGTAATGATTACGATACAAATTATTAATTACCACAGGTAGGAACATTATTGCTCCAAACTCCATTCTCATTACAAGTTATCTGACTGTCTCCATTTAACGTGAAACCTGTCCCACATGTAAAATCTACCTGCGATGTTGAACCATTAGTTGAAGAAGAACTATCTCCATCTATAATATTGTCTACATCAATGCATTTCACTAAAAAAAAAAGGACAAAGTTGAAAATACAAATAATGACATAAGCGCATTTCATTCAGGAAGGTTAACATTTTCAAATGGTATTAGACTTTCAAGTCAGAACAACCAACATTTAAAACAAGAGCCATGTCAACATGGCCATCCCCCGCCGAATGTGTTTGCTCATGAAGAATGTATATGTAGTAGAGCAGAATAATTCCATTTTAAGAGGTCTTTTGGAAATGAAAACTGATGGCTATAGTGATTACAGGTTTGAAACCTTTGTGAATACTGATGGCTGAAAATAACAAAAAAATAATGCAGGGTAGGTTATCATTCTTGTGTGCTGCATCCCTCCTCAGTAAAATCTATCCACCTATGAAGTTTCAAGTTGATACCTCAAATACTTTTTGAGAAAAAAATTGAATTGAAAAATTAAGTATGAAAAATAACAAAGGGCAATAACTAAAAAATTATAAAAGGTAGAGTTATCATTCTTGTGCACTGCACACCTCCTGATTTGGATCTATGCACCTATGAAGTTTCATGTTGATATCTCATAAACCTTTTGAAATATGCTCTGGACAAAAATTAATTTTGAAAAATAACAAAGGGCAGTAACTAAACAATTATGCAGGGTAGAGTTATCATTCTTGTGCACAGCACTCCTCCTCAATGAGATCCATCCACCTATGAAGTTTCAAGTTGATACCTAAAATACTTTTGAGATTAGCTTCTTACAAAATAGTATGAAAAAATAACAAAGAGCAATAACACAAAAATTGTATAGGGAAGAGTTATCATTCTTGTGCACAGCATTCCTCCTCAATAAGATCTATCTACCTATGACATTTCATGTTGACATCTCAAACACCTTTGAGTTATGCTCCAATCAGGTGAAAAATTAGGTATGAAAAATAATAAAGGGCAATAACTCAAAAATTATGATAGGTAGAGTTATCAATCTTGTGCACTGCACCCCTCAATGAGATCCATCCACCTATGAAGTTTCATTTTGATATCTCAAAGGCCTTTTGAGTTATGCTCTGGACAAAAATTAATTTTGAAAAATAACAAAGGGCAATAACTCAAAAATTATGCAGGGTAGAGTTATCATTCTTGTGCACTGCACTCTTCCTCAATGAGATCCATCCACCTATGAAGTTTCAAGTTGATACCTCAAATACTTTTTGAGATAAGCTCTGGACAAAATAGCATGAAAAAGAACAAAGGGCAATAACTCAAAAATTGAATAGGGAAGAGTTATCATTCTTGCGCACAACATTCCTCCTCAATAAAATCTATCCACCTATGACATTTCATGTTGATATCTCAAACACTTTTTGAGGTATGCTCAACTCAGGGCAATAACTCAAAAATTATGCAGGGTAGAGTTATCATTCTTGTGCACTGCACTCCTCCTCAATGAGGTCTATCCACCTATGAAGTTTCAAGTTGATAACTCAAATACTTTTAGAGATATGCTCCGGACAAAAATGTGGGACGGAAGGACGGATGGACGAAAGGACGGAAAGTCGGACGGACGGAGACTATTTCTATATCCCCCGCCACCTTTTCGGCGGGGGATAATAAGAGCTGTCAACAGGACAGCAGTCTCAACTATTCTTAGTGCTTTATAGTATATTCTAGCACAACCCTAATTTTTTCCCTATTGAATATAGAAGAACCCAAAGTGTGTCTCATTATGCAACAAAAACACTGTTGACTTTCTATATTAAGACATGTGATGTAATCATTACACATGTGACGTAACCACTGAAAATGTGAAGCACTGAAAAAAAGTGCGGAAACATATCAAGCGCAATTTAGCTTAAATTCAGGTACGGCTGCATTTATTTGTTGATGTTGTGTTAGAATCAAAATTAAATATATCCAAATTGGTGATATATTGCTTGATAAAATCACTGTTTGTCGATCGGATGCGCATCATTACATCACTCGGGCGAGGCTTTCCTGATATGATTCCTCGACTCCAAACTTCAAACAGTGATTTTATTGAGCGATCAAATCACTGTTTGGAATATATTATTTCTTAAACAAGAGCATTGCAATAAATTATGTATAATTTTTTTAGTTCAAAAAGGGCAATAATTCTGTCAAAATCCATGTTAGATTTATGGGCCTTGGACAGTGAGTTTTTTATTATACTTTCGAAAAAGTCTGTGAAGTTTCAACCTATTCCCTTTCAGTAGTTACAGAGATACCAACTTGCATGCACAATCTTAACCAAAGTGATGCCAATGCAGGGTTCAGTTCAATAGCTATCACAATTCTTTGATTAATCGAGCTACCAAAATTGCTGCTCAAAGAATATATAACAAACTGCATAACAGCGTAAAATGGAAGTTTTACCACAAGATGGTTCAGTTCCCAGCCACCCTTGCCCAGTGTTACTACACTGTCTAGATATTTCTCCATCCAGGGAATATCCTACTGAACAGCTATATGTCACAACGGTACCATCAGAGGAAAATGACAGTGCTGCATTCACAGGTGTTGCTGGTGAATCACAAACTAAAAATAATAAAAATATTTGTTTGAATTCTGGAAAGGATAGGTATAAGACTACTGCCAATTGTGTACTTTACTTAATCAAAAGTAATAAAACAAATTTACAATTGATTGTGTTCTGTTTTCAGAATTTGTCTTGAACTGCATTCAATGTTATATTGTTCATTTTGGTCTTATTGACTAATGAAAAGTTTTATACATATTTGTTAGAACAATAATCTTCACAAAATTTACTGATTTTATAATACTGCACACTTTTAAATCACATTATGCCTCACATAAAAATATTATTTTCTTTCCTTCTTTAAAGGCAGATTATGCCTCAGATATGAATATTATTTTCTTTCCTTCTTTAAAGGCACATTATGCCTCAGGTACAAATATTATTTTCTTTCCTTCTATAAAGGCACAAGAATATTATTTTCCTCTTTAAAACTAGAACTATCACTAAATGTGATTAATACCCCCACAAGACTGCTTCGGAAATGAGGATGTTACTAGTAACAGAATACCTTGTAAAAGAATTGAAATATAGAGTTATGGTTGTGGGCAATTAAAGATAGTTGTGGTTCTTGTATATTGCATTTCCTTTCAATGTGGTTGACCATTGAAGAAGTTTTATTGATTTACTCTGTAATAAGTCCAGAAATACAAAGAAAAGGAACAAAGGGCAAAAACTCTATAAATACTGAAGATGGAGTTATAGTTCTTGTGCACTGCACTTCCTCCCTCTTTTTGTGCTTGACCATTGTATGAAGTTGTTTTGAATTTCAACCAGTACGTTTAAAGTTATGCTCCAGACAAGGAAAAGTATCAAAGGGCAGTAACTCTATATTTTGTAAAAATGGAGTTATGGCTCTTATGCACTGCACTTCCTTTTAATGTCCTTGACAACTGTATGAAGTTGAATTGAATTCCAAACAGTAGTTTTCAAGTTATGCTCTGGAAAAGGAAAAGTAACAAAGGGCAATAACTCTGTAATTTGTCAAGATGGAGTTATGGTTCTTGTGCACTCCACTTCCTCTCAATGTGCTTGACCATTGTATGAAGTTATATTGAATTCCAACCCATTAGTCTTCAAGTTATGCTCCGGACAAAAAAAAGCAATGGAAAAGTAACAAAGGGCAGTAACTCTGTAATTAGTCAAGATGGAGTTATGGTTCTTGTGCACTGCACTTCCTCTCAATGTGCTTGACCATTGTATGAAGTTATAATGAATTCCAACAATTAGTCTTCAAGTTATACTCCGGACAAAAGAAAGCAATGGAAAAGTAACAAAGGGCAATAACTCTGTAATTACTTTAGATAGAAATATGGTTCTTATGCACTGCACTTCCCCTTACTGTGTTTGACAATTGTATGAAGTTGTTTTGAATTCCAACCAGTAATTTTCAAGTTATGCCCCGGACAAGGAAAAGTAACAAAGGGCAATAACTCTGTAATTAGTCAAGACAGAGTTATGGTTCTTGTGCACTGCACTTCCTCTCAATGTGCTTGACCATTGTATGTAGTTATATTGAATTCCAACCATTAGTCTTCAAGTTATGGTCCGGACAAAAGAAAGCAATGGAAAAGTAACAAAGGGCAATAACTCTGTAATTACTTTAGATAGAGTTATTGTTCTTGTGCACTGCACTTCCCCTTATTGTGTTTGACAATTGTATGAAGTTGTTTTGAATTCCAACCAGTAGTGTTCAAGTTATGCCCCGGACAAGGAAAAGTAATAAAGGGCAATAACTCTGTAATTAGTCAAGATAGAGTTATGGTTCTTGTGCACTGCACTTCCTCTCAATGTGCTTGACCATTGTATGTAGTTATATTGAATTCCAACCATTAGTCTTCAAGTTATGGTCCGGACAAAAGAAAGCAATGGAAAAGTAACAAAGGGCAATAACTCTGTAATTACTTTAGATAGAGTTATGGTTCTTGTGCACTGCACTTCCCCTTATTGTGTTTGACAATTGTATGAAGTTGTTTTGAATTCCAACCAGTAGTTTTCAAGTTATGCCCCGGACAAGGAAAAGTAACAAAGGGCAATAACTCTGTAATTAGTCAAGATAAAGTTATGGTTCTTGTGCACTGCACTTCCTCTCAATGTGCTTGACCATTGTATGTAGTTATATTGAATTCCAACCATTAGTTTTCAAGTTATGGTCCGGACAAAAGAAAGCAATGGAAAAGTAACAAAGGGCAATAACTCTGTAATTACTTTAGATAGAGTTATGGTTCTTGTGCACAGCACTTCCCCTTATTGTGTTTGACAATTGTATGAAGTTGTTTTGAATTCCAACCAGTAGTGTTCAAGTTATGCCCCGGACAAGGAAAAGTAACAAAGGGCAATAGCTCTGTAATTAGTCAAGATAGAGTTATGGTTCTTGTGCACTGCACTTCCTCTCAATGTGCTTGACCATTGTATGTAGTTATATTGAATTCCAACCATTAGTCTTCAAGTTATGGTCCGGACAAAAGAAAGCAATGGAAAAGTAACAAAGGGCAATAACTCTGTAATTACTTTAGATAGAGTTATGGTTCTTGTGCACTGCACTTCCCCTTATTGTGTTTGACAATTGTATGAAGTTGTTTTGAATTCCAACCAGTAGTTTTCAAGTTATGCCCCGGACAAGGAAAAGTAACAAAGGGCAATAACTCTGTAATTAGTCAAGATAGAGTTATGGTTCTTGTGCACTGCACTTCCTCTCAATGTGCTTGACCATTGTATGTAGTTATATTGAATTCCAACCATTAGTCTTCAAGTTATGGTCCGGACAAGGAAAATGCAACGGACGTCTGGACCGACCGACCGACCGCCCGACCGACCAACCGACCACCGGGTGACTCCTATATACCCCCCCAAACTTCGTTTTTGGGGGTATAAAAAGTAAACATGAGTTTTATAATGTTCAAATAATGGTTTAAGACTAGATGCATATCACCTGGAGAAGAGCTCTAGATGGGAATTTATTTGTCATAAAAGTAGCAAAATGTAAACATAGTAAAATTTTGACTTCCATACAAAATACTACACAACTACATAACTATAATGGTGTTAATTGCTTAAAAGCAACAGAAGCAAAATACCGGTTCCAGTATTTGACCAATGAATATTTTTTTTGAAACTTTAACAGGACACTAAAAACCAATTGATTTTCTAATAAAATGAAAGCATTTCTGGGACAAGATGGGCCTTTAAAATAATAATTATAAAGTTATGTTAATAGTAAACTTAATATTTATGTAAATTTATTATAATTAGTTTTTGTATTTATGTAAATTTATTATAATTATTTCATAACTTACCACATGCTGGCAAAGACCCATTCCAACTTCCATCAGACTGGCACTGAATGACAGAGTTGCCTACAAGATGATAGCCACTGATGCATGAAAACACAACATATGAAAATAATCCATCTGTAAAATTGTGCCTGTTTCCATTAGCTGGTGTCAACACCTCTTCACATGTGACTGAAATAAAGGATACGTCAATAAATATCACTTTATTATTCTTACAATATGCTTGGAATAAAACAGCAATAAACCATCTAGAAATATACAAATATCTGCCAGAAGCGTATTTCAATGTCATTATATTTAAATTCTCACAAGATTTGTTTTCACTGACTTCAATAAACTAAGCTTGAATTAATTTAGTCTGTATAAAATCCGGTTTCTATAAATCATTAGATGAATTAAGGTTAAGGTTATGTCTTAAATTGGGAGCTCTTATCTGGGTTTGAAAACTTTAAAATCTTATAATTATAATAGTATTCATGTTTATATTGTATAAAGGTAACTCAATTAAATATTGCCACATCCTTGCAGTTATAGTATTATGGTGGAGGAAGACCTCAGTTGCCCTTCCGTGCATTATTTCAGGCTTGAACGGGTACCTGCGTAGAACCACCGAAGTTCCGTAAGGTAGCTGGATACTTCCTCACATGAAAGAATTCAAAGTTCCTGTCAGGATTTGAACCCACAGCAGTGAGCGGCATAAATTAATTGTTAAAGCATTATTCATGTTTCTATTGTAAAAAGGTAACCAACTTGATTGAATATTGCCACATCATTGCAGTTAAAGTATAATTCATGTTAAGTGTACCACAGTCTGGTGGGCTTGAACTCCAGCTTCCATCCTCTTGGCATGTCACCTCATTCTGACCACTTAAACTGTAGCCTAGATCACACTCATATGCTTTACTGGTTGTATGTCCATCTGTGCTTGTTGTTGTTGTTCCATTTGCAATATCTGCTATATTTTCACAGGTTACTAAAAATGTATAAAATATTAGGAACTATGAGGACTGTGCAATTGATTACAACAAAATTACCATACAGTGAAACATATCTAACATTATAACTGAATATTATTTCACAAGATATCAACTCAATTTTTTGAAGGGGTTAAAAAATTTGATCAGAACAGAGGAATAAGAGAATTGCTTTGCTGAAGAACTGGTTGAGATCTTCTAGGGACCAATATTCTAAGAAATCGAGTTTTGATAAAATATTGCTGTTTTGAAAACCAGTTATCTTTTACAAGCTGGATCTACCAGATTCTTAAAAGGTGTAGGTTTTGATAAAAGATGTGTTTGCATTTGAAACTTGTTACCATCTCCTAACTTACCACATTCTGGAAATGTAGATAACCATACTCCATCACTACCACACTGGACAGATGTATCTCCCTTAATACTGTATCCAGAATCACATGTAAACTCAACTGTTGATGTGACTCCATCAGTTTCCATAGAAACAGATCCATCTGCAACTGGTGGAACTGAGCCACAACTGACTGCAACACAAAAACAAGAGCTGTCGGTAGGACAGCAACGCTTGACTATTCTTAGTGCTTGATAGTAAAAAAATGCTTGATACAGTTACCACCTCCTGTTTACAGGTTGGGGTCATGATGATGAACAAGTGTGCAAAGTTTCAAAGCCATATGTCAATGGACTTTGAAAATATTTGAACTAGTACAAAAACTTTAACGTAAATTCTATGTCGAAAAAGGGGGATAATTCTGTCAAAATGCAAAGCCATATGTCTATGGACTTTGAAAATATTTATACTATTACAAAAACTTGAACGTAAATTCTAAGTTGATAAAGGGGCATAATTCTGTCAAAATGCTTGATAGAGTTACCTCCTCCTGTCTACAGGTTGGGGTCATGATGGTGAACAAGTGTGCAAAGTTTCAAAGCCATATGTCAATGGACTTTGAAAATATTTGAACTATTACAAAAACTTTAACGTAAATTCTAAGTCGAAAAAGGGGGATAATTCTGTCAAAATTCAAAGCCATATGTCAATGGACTTTGAAAATATTTGAACTATTACAAAAACTTTAACGTAAATTCTAAGTTGATAAAGGGGCATAATTCTGTCAAAATGCTTGATAGAGTTACCTCCTCCTGTCTACAGGTTGGGGTCATGATGGTGAACAAGTGTGCAAAGTTTCAAAGCCATATGTCAATGGACTTTGAAAATATTTGAACTATTACAAAAACTTTAACATAAGTGGTTACGCCGACGCCGACGCTCGGGTGACTACAATAGCTCTACTTATTCTTATCGAATAGTCGAGCTAATAACATTTCATGATGTATAGCAAATGTAATAAAATGGTTTTATATTTTAAAATTCAATACTAGACTCAAATTAAACTATCAAAATTTTAACAAAAGCCACTCCAAGCTTGGGCCACACTCTTTCTTATGTCTAAAGTCCAATACATCGGACCTAAAATATTGTAGTAAAGAACTTATAGAAAACATAATTTTATTGTACAAAATATAACTCAAATTTTATATTTGACCTTGATAATCAAGGTCAAAATTAAATACAATAAGCCAAGTAAGTACATGTACTAAGGAAGCAAGGAGAGGCTTTATTAATCAATGGTTCATATTTTGTTTCCCTATCTTCCATGTGGGCCTCTCAGAAAAAAACAAACATTATTTACAATCTGTAGTAACATAGCCTTGCTGTAGGACAAAGTAGAAAAATGGGTCAAAGACAGAAAAGGCCGGGTTGCATTTGTACACCAAATATCATGAGGCTGTGATGTTACGAAAAAAAATTTCCACTGACCCATTAATGTCGAAAATATAATTCAGTAGGTTAAAAGGAAGTGGATTAGCTACACACCTAAAATCGAATCCCACAGTATGGGACCATGTGTCAATGCTGCATGCCAAATATCAAGAGGCTGTGTTAAGTAGTTGCTGAGAAAACTGTTACGAAAATTTCCTACCATTGACCATTAATGTCGAAAAATCTAACTAATTTAACTAAGTGGATAACAGGAAGTGGATGAGCGACAGACCTGAAATCAAATCCCACAGTATGGGACCATGTGTCAATGCTGTATGCCAAATATCAAGAGGCTGTGATAAGTAGTTGCTGAGGAAACTGTTACGAAAATTTCCTAGCATGGACCATTAATGTCGAAAAATCTAACTAATTGAACTAAGTGGATAAACAGGAAGTGGATGAGCAACAGACCTGAAATCAAATCCCACAGTATGGGACCATGTGTCAATGCTGTATGCCAAATATCAAGAGGCTGTGATAAGTAGTTGCTGAGAAAACTGTTACGAAAATTTCCTACCATTGACCATTAATGTTAAAAATCTAACTAATTTAACTAAGTGGATAAACAAGAAGTGGAATGAGCGACAGACCTGAAATCAAATCCCACAGTATGGGACCATGTGTCAATGCTGTATGCCAAATATCAAGAGGCTGTGATAAGTAGTTGCTGAGGAAACTGTTACGAAAATTTCCTAGCATGGACCATTAATGTCGAAAAATCTAACTAATTGAACTAAGTTGATAAACAGGAAGTGGATGAGCGACAGACCTGAAATCCAATCCCACGGTATGGGACCATGTGTCAATGCTGTATGCCAAATATCAAGAGGCTGTGATAAGTAGTTGCTGAGAAAACTGTTACGAAAATTTCCAAGCATTGACCATTAATGTCAAAAAATCTAACTAATTTAACTAAGTGGATAAACAGGAAGTGGATGAGCGACAGACCTGAAATCAAATCCCACAGTATGGGACCATGTGTCAATGCAGTATGCCAAATATCGAGAGGCTGTGATAAGTAATTGCTGAGAAAACTGTTACGAAAATTTCCTACCATTGACCATTAATGTTGAAAAATCTAACTAATTTAACTAAGTGGATAAACAGGAAGTGGATGAGCGACAGACCTGAAATCAAATCCCACAGTATGGGACCATCTGTCAATGCTGTATGCCAAATATCAAGAGGCTGTGATAAGTAGTTGCTGAGAAAACTGTTACGAAAATTTCCTACCATTGACCATTAATGTCGAAAAATCTAACTAATTTAACTAAGTTGATAAACAGGAAGTGGATGAGCGACAGACCTGAAATCAAATCCCACAGTATGGGACCATCTGTCAATGCTGTATGCCAAATATCAAGAGGCTGTGATAAGTAGTTGCTGAGAAAACTGTTACGAAAATTTCCAAGCATTGACCAAAAATGTTTAAAAATCTAACTAATTGAACTAAGTGGATAAACAGGAAGTGGATGAGCGACAGACCTGAAATCCAATCCCACAGTATGGGACCATGTGTCAATGCTGTATGCCAAATATCAAGAGGCTGTGATAAGTAGTTGCTGAGAAAACTGTTACGAAAATTTCCAAGCATTGACCATTAATGTCAAAAAATCTAACTAATTTAACTAAGTGGATAAACAGGAAGTGGATGAGCGACAGACCTGAAATCGAATACCAGGGTATGGGACCATGTGTCAATGCTGTTTGCCAAATATCAAGAGGCTGTGATAAGTAGTTGCTGAGAAAACTGTTACGAAAGTTTTTCCGCCGCCCGCCCGGACGCCCGCCCGCCGCCCAACATTCACCATCAGGGTTTTACATCTCTTTGAAATTTTAGGGGTCCAGTGGATGCACAGCCTAGAAAAGTAGGGGTCCAGGCCTGAATTTTAGGGGTCCAAAATTATATTCACTATAAAAGACTATGAAGACCTCTCTATTTAGCTTAAAATCATTTATTTACCCTGTGAGAAATATGCATGTATATTGTACTGTTTTCATAAGAAGTATATGATTTCAATATCTTTTATCACTAGGTTTTTTTTAGAGCCCTTTACAAATAATATCATGTGCTATTTCCAAGGCTTATTAGTCTTTGTGTGCTGGAATGTCAAGTTTTAGTGCATATTTTGTTATTGATAAGGTGATTACACCAACAGACTGAAAATTTGCATTGATCTATTTGTAAATATTTTAGCTGAACTAGTGAACACACAATAGGTATCTTTACAGACCAGTCAGCTAAATATGTTGCGTTTTTAAAAAATATCATATAACAAAAGGGCCGACGAAACCGCTTTTGCACCTCCTCATAAGTTAAGTTCGCCAAAACAATTATATTTATAACACCAATGATAATAACATACCCAGTGACTTAATTTCTTTAACACTGATAAAGTTTGCAAAAAACACTGCTTTTTTTTCATTATTGCCGTTCATGTACAAAATACATTCGCCGAACTGGTAGATCGACATTGGATACGCTAACCAATAGTAATTGCTTGTTATAAATAGTCCGTCTAAATAAAGCAACAGAAAAACCAAAAACAGCTACCTAAAATAGATTTTACGGTAAACGTCATCAGTTACTGTTAGCTTGCACGATAAACGTCATTAGTTTCCTGCAGCGGGCACTTGCAAAGAGCATGCGCAGTAGATTTCAATTATGTTAAACTTCCGAAATAAACAAATGCAAGCATTTTCTGCATGCTGTATTAGATTTTAAATGGAATTTTGTGATCTTCGAGAAGAAAGAGATAAAATCATGTCGGGTCAGAAACAATAATTTCTATTGTCTGAGGATTATTTTTGTGCGTACACTTGGACGCAATTGGATAACGTATATGCGTACATGTCAAAATTTATGCGTATAGGGACGCAGAATTCTGCGTCCCGTAAAACCCTGCACCATACTATAACCCGGGTTTGCACCAGTGCAACCCGGCCAAAAATGGGTCAAAGACAGAAAAGGCCAGGTTGCATTTGTACACCAAATATCATGAGGCTGTGATGTTACGAAAAAAAATTTTCCATTGACCCATTAATGTCGAAAATTTCATTCAGTAGGTAAACAGAAAGTGGATTAGCTACACACCTAAAATCAAATCCACAGTATGGGACCATGTGTCAATGCTGTATGCCAAATATCAAGAGGCTGTGATTAGTAGTTTCTGGGAAAAATGTTAACGAAAATTTCCTACCATTGACCATTAATGTGAACAGGAAGTGGATGAGCTGCAGACTTGAAATTCGAATCCCACAGTATGGGACCATGTGTCAATGCTGCATGCCAAATATCAAAGGCTGTGATAAGTAGTTGCTGAGAAAACTGTTACGAAAATTTCCTACCATTGACCATTAATGTCAAAAAATCTAACTAATTTAACTAAGTGGATAAACAGGAAGTGGATGAGCGACAGACTTGAAATCGAATCACACAGTATGGGACCATGTGTCAATGCTGCATGCCAAATATCAAGAGGCTGTGATAAGTAGTTGCTGAGAAAACTGTTACAAAAACTTCCTACCATTGACCATTAATGTCAAAAATTCTAACTAATTTAACTAAGTTGATAAACAGGAAGTGGATAGGCGACAGACCTGAAATCAAATCCCACAGTATGGGACCATGTGTCAATGCTGTATGCCAAATATCAAGAGGCTGTGATAAGTAGTTGCTGAGAAAACTGTTACGAAAGTTTTTTTCCCCGCCCGCCCACCGCCCGCCCGCCGCCCAACATTCACCATACAAACCCGGGTTTGCACCAGTGCAACCCGGCCAAAAATCTATTTTAGCCCTCAGGGACCTTGCCTTCAACAAATCAACCTAAACACAAACATCTTTCCTTCAATGATAGAAAACCATGCAAGATACCAAACACTCAAAAACAGGAAGTACACATGTTTATGGCAACAGAGCAGATTGAAGGAAAACAAAGCAACTGAGTGATCCTTGAAAACATTTTTTGGGGAAGCATTATTACTTACCACAAGTTGTGTCATTAATTTGACCAGCCTTTATAGTCATTTTGACAGGTGATATTGGCTGTACCATACAAATGTATAACCTGGGGAGCATGTGTACATTCCATCATACCATCAACCAGACAACAAGAACATCACCATCACTTGATTGAAGCGGGAAAATTTGCAAACTGTAAATGCGGATATTCAAATAATTACAACGAACTTCAATGTAATCCCTGTGAAGAAAAAACGTCCCTGTGGATTAAATAGGCCTGGGTTTTTTTAAACATCGTTTCAGACCCCCTTGTTTTTCATTTTCAATTACATTAACATTAGTTATGGGTTTGAGCTTTAAATAACTAACAATAGGTAACTTAAATACTGGTAACAATATGGCAAACTTAAATAACTAAAAAAAGGTAAGCTTAAATATGATTACATATATGGGGAAAGGCTTAAACACTGAACAATATTGGTAAGCTTAAATAACTGAACAAAGAACTTTAAATACGATATAATAAAGGTAAGCTTAAAATACTGGTACAAAATATGGAAAGCTTAAAAAAACTAATACAATAGGGTTTTCTTAAACACGGGTCAAAATGGTAAAAAAACGAATCAATGGGAAAATTAAAAAACTATATAATATGGTATGCTTTAATACTGATACAATATGGTAAGATTAAATGCTGATACAATATGATAAGCTTAAATACTGATACAATATGGAAAGCTTAAACACTGATACAATATGGAAACCTTAAACACTGAAACAATATGGTAAGCTTAAACACTTATACAATATGGTAAGATTAAATGCTGATACAATATGGTAAGCTTAAATACTGATACAATATGGTAAGCTTAAATACTGATACAATATGGGAAGCTTAAACACTGATACAATATGGTAAGCTTAAACACTTATACAATATGGTAAGATTAAATGCTGATACAATATGGTAAGCTTAAATGCTGATACAATATGGTAAGCTTAAATACTGATACAATATGGAAACCTTAAACACTGAAACAATATGGTAAGCTTAAACACTTATACAATATGGTAAGATTAAATGCTGATACAATATGGGAAGTTAAACACTGATACAATATGGTAAGCTTAAACACTTATACAATATGGTAAAGATTAAATGCTGATACAATATGGTAAGCTTAAATACTGATACAATATGGTAAGCTTAAATACTCATACAAGCTTGTCATAATTTCTTATTTTAGCATTCAATTTCTTTTGTTAGCAATCAACAATTTTTCTTGCAGTTTCCAAATTTATGACATATATGTTGCTGAAGAAAAAGAGTAAAAAAATATTGTTCATACTACAAATAGGTACTGGATTACTCCATGCCCCAAATGAACTGCAAGCTGATGAGCTAGACCCGTCTAAGTAATAGTCTGTGTGGCATGAAAATGTGGCACTACTTGTTGATCCATCAGATGTTATGGTAAACATATCCATTTGTTGGTGAAGTTATAACCCCGCATTGCACTGAAATATGATAATTGTTACATTACCCAACAAATGTTTTCATTTAAGAGAAGTCATGTAAAAATAATTTCCATGTGGGCACATGATCAAGTGGTTCAAGCGTCAGACTTGTCGTCTAAGAATCGCTAGCCGTGTGGGTTTAAAACCCAATCAGGGGCAAGTCGTTGTTCCCTTGAGCAAGAAACTTTTCAAGCATTGCTTAGTACTGGTTGGTCCAGTAAAAAGTTCTATAGCGCGAATGAAGAATAATTTTAAATATTTATCACTAACAAATAATAACCTATTTTCCTCTATTAATTATGAGAAGTACAAAAGTCTCACCACAAGTTGGTTCTAAGAAATCCCATGACCCGTCACTTCTACAGGTTAACTGTGATGGTCCATTAAGCGTGTAATTTGTGTAACACTCATACACAGCTGTAGTAGTTGATCCATCTGACTGTACAGTCACATGACCACCGGTTGGTGAACCAAGAGCTGAGCATGGAACTTGTAAAAACAAAAAGACAAAAGGTAAGAAAACAGAAATCACCACAAAGTACTTTTTTACCTCAATTTTGAATTACCTCAATTTTGAATATCAAAAATCCTTCAGAAACAAGTTTACCAACTGCATTGGTGACAAGGGAAAATTTTACACATAAAGCCATATTGGATATAGCCATAGATGTTCATATTTTGAGTATAAAATAAATAAAACTGAAGACTATGTAATAATGCAACCATGAGCAAAATACCTAAAAATTACATTTTTTTACAGGCAGATACAACAATAACCAGTGCAGCTGTTGTATTCAAAAGCATACATTTAAATTCTCTAAACGATTTGGCTGTACCATTTTTTAAACCAGTCTTACAAATGATATAAAAACAACAAATTCTTGAACTTTTTAATACAATGCTAAAATGACCATCCTTACCTCCACAAGAGGGTGTTTGTATATCCCAAGAGCCATCAGAACCACATGTTAATGTAGATATCCCAGACATTGTGTATCCAGTCATACACGAGATTGAGGCTTTAGTGACAGAACCATCAGTTGATATTGTTACATTACCACCAGTTGGTACTGACAACAAATCACATTTTTCTGAAACAATAAACAAAATTAATGTATTGTTGTTTAAAAATAAAGTTAACACTTAAAAAAATAAAGTTAATGCTGTTAAAAATCACATTTTTCTGAAACAACAAAAAGTTTGTTTTCAAAATAAAGTTTTCACGATTTTATCATCAGTGCAACTGAACCCTACCTGTACCAGTTTAAAAGCTTGTACACAATGGATTGCAGACAAATACTAGAAACAAAAATACTAGAAACAAATCAAATGATTAAAAGCACATATTGTTGGGCAAATATTCTCAGAAACAAAGTGTTCTACAGGATAATGGTAGTAATTGTATCATGTTTCTGTGTATATTATCAAAACTCTTCTGGTGCTATAAATGACATTTAAAAAAACAAGAACTTGTTTGTTAAACACAAATGCCCCACGGCTCCGATTCTTGTCAGTAGCAATATTTCAAAAAATGTTTACCCATTCACTCAGTTATGGACAGAAACATTGCCAAAAAATTGTAAACACAAGTTATATACCTTGACAGAGTCATGGCATTTTGTAATTGTGAAATGTATAAGTTGCCAAGTCATTGCTATGACTTATGAAGTGATAAATATTCAACTTTATCAAATATATATAAATGTAAAAAATCTATACTTGGCACCCTTGACCTTGACCCACTGACACCTATAGAATATCATGCAAGTTATCTTCCTACCAAATATGAAATACACCTGTCAATAAATAAAGGCTGTATGGGTAAAAATGTTAAAATCTATTTTGAGCATTGATGACCTTGACCAAACTGACCCCTAACTTCCATCCAATGGAAGAATACCATGCAAGTTATCTTCCAACCAAATATGAAATATATCTGTCAATAAATAAAGGCTGTATGGGCAAAAGTGAAAAAATCTATTTTTTGCACTTGTGACCTTGACCCAACTGACCCCTAACTCCATCCAAAGTAAGAATAACATGCAAGTTATCCTCCTACCAAATATGAAATATATCTGTCAATAAAAAAAGGTGTATGGGCAAAAGTGTAAAAATCTATTTTTAGCACAAGTGACCTTGACCCACTGATCCCTACCCCAATCAAAAGGATGAATACCATGCAAGTTATCTTCCTACCAAATACAGAATATAGAATATGGTTAATACACCTGTAAAAATGTAAACATCTATTTTTAATATTGGTGACCTTGACATTGGTGACATTGACCTTGACACAAATGACCCCTTACTATACCCAAAGAAGGAGGACCTCCCTTGGCATGTTTGTATTAAACATGAAAGACATCAACCAAAAAATAAAGACTGGGAAATATGGATGACACAGTTATATAACTTGGCAATATCATGTACTTTGTATTGATTTATTCATTTTCTAAGTGCTGAAAAGGGCAATTACTTGGTAAATATGGAAGCCATAGTTATGTCACTTGACCAGATCATGTACTTTGTATTGATTAGTAAGTGTGTAAACTATGAAGCCATTGGTACAGGTAGAACTTAAGAAAAATCCAACTTGCCGTTCTAGGTTAACCTCGTACGGACAGATGGACGGACGGACGTTCCAACATTTTGGCTTTAAGGGCTATTTTCTTTGTTATTTTCTTTGTTTTCTTAAGGGCTACTAGCCCCTAAACCCTTTGATCATGGAATGAACCTATTGTTCTCTTTACTGTTATATAGCCCCTAAGCCCAAAATGTTTGCTCGGACAGACAGACGGACCGACGGTTCAATTACTATATGCCCGGGGGCATAAAAACATATGACCATACTATGCACAAATAGAGGAAAATCTACAGTTCACAAAATCACTTTATAAATAACACCAACCAAAGAAAGTACACCAAGGTTTTATAAATGATACAAAAATAAGTATACCACATGATGGCTCAGTTAAACTCCAGCCAAGTCCATTATCTTGACAAACTCTTTCTGTTGCACCATTTAGAGAATAGCCAGAATCACATGTGTATGATATAACAGAACCGTTTGACTGTGCCACTCCATTTGCAAAGAACAATGATGATGAACATACTAGAAAAAGTAAATACAGTCTATATTTAACAAAGGGTTGTGAAACATAAAAATATTCATTTATTAATAGTAAATATATATTTTTTCACAGCCTGATTGAAGTATTTGTGATTGGTTGGGAAAGTTACATTGAATTTGTTAAATTCATACAGGCCTTTTTTCAGGTTAGCTGCCTGAATAAAAAACATCAAATGCCAGTTCAGTATGCAATATGCAACATATATTTAATCCCTGAACATGCCTATAGTTGAATAAATCATAGAGAATTGTCATCAAAAGTAAGAAAATTAACTGGACTTGATAATACACATACAGCAAACTGGTGCTGCTCCACTCCATGTTCCATCTTTACATTGTCGTATAGTATCACCAACAATATAATAGTCAGTTAGACATTCATACACTGCTGTAGTTACTGTACCATTAGTAGATTCACTCACAATCCCACTCTGTATAGATTCAATAGAGGGGCACTGCACTGTAAATATATATATACTCTTGAAATTAAAACAAAGAATGAAGACGAAAGTGTTTCATTTGTACCCAGTTCTTACTATTCCATTTTGATGTAAACATGAAATCCTAAAAATTCTTTATCAACTTGGATATTACAATATAATAAGTAAAAGCATATGATTTTTTTTTAATTTAATACCAAGAAAAACAAACAAATTTTTTTGCATTCTAAAAGGCTCACAAAAAATGTTAAACTAAAATTGTTTAAATCACAATGGCAAAGACCTCTGATTTACTTCACACCCTTTAAAGCATTAAGTTTCATACATGAAACTGAACATGTTAATATTCCCATCTTAATACTGTACATATTTCTTATATTTATAAACTATCTATATGCTGAAGCATATTTAATAAGGAGATAATTAGGGTTACAAATAAAATCTCAAGATGTTAATAAATGCAATAATAATAATAATGCTTACAACATGTGGGCGCAGAGATATCCCAATGTCCATCCTCATCACAGGTAGCAGAGTAATCACTGGAGACACTGTAACCAAGGTAACAAGTGTAAGTTACTGAGGAAGTACTTCCATTTGTTGTGATCAACACATCACCATCAGCAATTGATGAAATATCCTCACATTTATCTGAAGTGAAAAATAATTATGTTTGTTTTGTCCATCTGTTGTGTTTTTGTTTTGTTTTTGCTGATTTTAACATATTTTTTTGGTTTACTTATTGGCAACTTCACTACCTTACAAGCTTTCCTGGATAACAAATCAAGAAAGTAGCAGCACATATAAAATACCTAAGCTTTAACAGGAAATGACTTTGTCTGTGACAAAAAAAAATTGAAATATTTTATTTTCAGCCCCTTCTTATGCATCAAATTTGAACATTTATAATGTATAACTTTTATGGAGGGCCATTTAAAAATCATTCCTTAAATGTCTGGTTAAATCCTACCATGTGGATAAAAAAAAGATGTTGTTTAAAGTGAATTGTTCCATAATGGAAGATCTATCATACCATAAATTAAATCATGTTGATAGTATTTAGTATCATACAAACAACAAACCATGAATTAAATTACATATGAATGCTGTTGGTACGTACAAGATAGATAATCTTATATACTAATTATTGCCAATATCATGGAATTAATTCCATATAATAAATTTTTCTTGAACAAAATATTATAATTCATCATATAAATAATCATACTAAATCACTTAGAACTCCATCCACATTTTTGCTCTCTCAAGTATTGTTTTTATCAATATTTAAAATACTTATTGAAAATATGTTCAATGTAGACCAATCCACATTAAAGGGATATTCAGGCAAAATAATGACAAAAATATTAAAATGATCTTATGTACTCAAATGACATTTCTTGAAGTCTCAGCATGAATTTCTGTTTGAATTCTATATATTTTGGGGTTGAAATGTAAATATTTATATGTTGAACAAAATTTAGACGCAAATAGAATCACCAAATAGTTTTAGAACAAGTCAGGTGTTTTAGATATTGTATGATTGAAACAGGTCTATGTCATTCATTTGAAATGTTTTAACGTTTCCAGAGTTCACTTTGACAAATATTGCGAAAACAAAGCACTCTAACCTGACCCACGCGGGTCAAGTTAGGAAACCACCATTTTATTCTTTATATGGAGAAAAGTTTTGGTCCATGGACTGCCTAATATATTCATTTTGAGGGCATTTACAGAATTATGAATGAAAAATTCACAACTAAGAAATGAAAATTTTGCCTGTGTCTCCCTTTAACGATATTACGCATAACAATAAACACAACAAAAGCTTGAGTCAGTTCAGGTGAGCTAAATAAATCATATCAAACTTACTGCAAGTAGGAGGGAATCCAGACCAACCAGAGGAGTCTGTAGCACATGTTCGAACATTTGAGCCGACCATTGAAAAACCCACATCACATCTATATGTCAATGTCATACCATCGGCACTTATTGTGTAGTTGCCATCAACCAATGACAGTGGTGGGTCACAAACTGCCAAAAAGGTATTACATGAGCAAAAACAAATACTTTACAATACAAGATGACAGCATGCGGTGTTAACGTTAAATTGTCTGTTACAAAAAATCTAAGTAAAAAAGGGTCATAACTCCTAAATTATTGTTTTCAGAATAACGCCCCTTGTCATGAAAATCAAGTTTGAAATATTAATAACTTTTGAAATGTTTGAAAAATAGGCTACATCAAAGTTTTTGACTGTTTCCTTCTTAGATTGGGAAACACATATGTAAAGAAGATAATGTCAAGACAATCAACAGCTTTGCAAACGCTGCGTAAACTATTTGAACAAAAATCAGAAAGTTAAGTATATAATCATTTTAAGTATAACACATATTAACATGAAACTGTTTTAAAATAACATACCACATGTTGGTATTGAATCATTCCAGCTTCCATCTGATCTACAGACCAATAATTCAGATCCTTTTATGATGTAGTTAGAATGACATGTGTATAGAATAGATGTTGACAGTCCATCAGACGTAGCTGAAACATCGCCATTGTCAACGTCACCCACTGTAGGACATTTTACTTTAAAAGAAAAATATACAAACGCTTCAACAGTAACAGACAGAAACATGACAGATGAAAAATAAAACAACAGAAAAGAACAGAGCAGAAATAATATTAAATACTCATTTAACCTAAAATCATATAGCATTTCAACATCTCAGTGCTATGTTGTTCATGTTTTATTAATATTGGTTTAGAAAAAGTATGGATATCGTCTGGAACTTAATATAAATCCTTAAACAACATGTGGTTAAAAGCAATTGGTTTAAGTATACAATAATTTTGTTTCTTTAAACCTTCCTATGTATAAAGCAAAAAGAATCCGATATTAAATAACTATATTCTGACAATATGTTGTTCACATTTTTATAAACACAATGTATTCACTATTGGTTAAAAAAAAAGAATGAACAAATTTTCAACCAGAATATAAAAGTTTTAACATTATGTAGTGATTTGCAGTAAACATTTATAATTATATAACTAGAACTGCCACTATCATGGCGTAAATACCCCCGCATACCACTTTGTCAGAATCAACAGTGGCCATTTAGTGCTCAAGGACAACCTCCCTGCCAAATCTGAGGTTACTAAGCCAGTGCATTGCTAAGTTATGTATTCTACATGCTTCAAATGTGAAAATGTCAAAATCAATACATTGCGAACAGGACATTCTTTAGCAATTGAGAAGAAAAGTTGTTTTTTTGTCAAGGTCCCTGTGACCTTGACCTTTGACCCAGTGACCTCAAAATCAATAGGGGTCACCTTATAGTCATGATCAACATCCATGCCAAATATGAAGACTGTGGGTCAAAGGAATCTTAAGTTAATGGGTGGACAAACTTTTTGAAGTCAAAGTCCCTATGACCTTGACCTTTGATCCAGTGACCTCAAAATCAAAAGGGGTCATCTACTAATCATGATCAACATCCATGCCAAATATGAAGACTGTGGGTCAAAGGAATCTAAAGTTATTGGGCAGACAAACTTTTTGAAGTCAAAGTCCCTGTGACCCTGACCTTTGACCTGGTGACCTCAAAAACAATAGGGGTCATCTACTAATCATGACTAACCTCTATTCCAAATATGAAGACTGTGGGTCAAAGGAATCTTAAGTTATTGGGCAGACAAGCTTTTTGAAGTCAAGGCCCCTGTGACCTTGACCTTTGACCTGGTGACCTCAAAATCAATAGGGGTCATCTACTAATCATGACTAACCTCCATGCCAAATATGAAGACTGTGGGTCAAAGAAATCTTAAGTTATTGGGCAGACAAGCTTTTTGAAGTCAAGGCCCCTGTGACCTTGACCTTTGACCTGGTGACCTCAAAGTCAATAGGGGTCATCTACTAATCATGACTAGCCTCCATGCCAAATATGAAGACTGTGGGTCAAAGGAATCTTAAGTTATTGGGCGGACAAGCTTTTTGAAGTCAAGGCCCCTGTGACCTTGACCTTTGACCTGGTGACCTCAAAATCAATAGGGGTCATCTACTAATCATGACTAACCTCCATGCCAAATATGAAGACTGTGGGTCAAAGGAATCTTAAGTTATTGGGCGGACAAGCTTTTTGAAGTCAAGGCCCCTGTGACCTTGACCTTTGACCTGGTGACCTCAAAATCAATAGGGGTCATCTACTAATCATGACTAACCTCCATGCCAAATATGAAGACTGTGGGTCAAAGGAATCTTAAGTTATTGGGCGGACAAGCTTTTTGAAGGCAAGGCCCCTGTGACCTTGACCTTTGACTTAGTGACCTCAAAATCAATAGGGGTCATCTACTAATCATGACTAACCTCCATGCTAAATATGAAGACAAAGGGTCAAAGGAATCTTAAGTTATTGGGCGGACAAGCTTTTTGAAGTCAAGGCCCCTGTGACCTTGACCTTTGACCTAGTGACCTCAAAATCAATAGGGGTCATCTACTAATCATGACTAACCTCCATGCCAAATATGAAGACTAAGGGTCAAAGGAATCTTAAGTTATTGGGCGGACAAGCTTTTTGAAGTCAAGGCCCCTGTGACCTTGACCTTTGACCTAGTGACCTCAAAATCAATAGGGGTCATCTACTAATCATGACTAACCTCCATGCCAAATATGAAGACTAAGGGTCAAAGGAATCTTAAGTTATTGGGCGGACAAGAAAAAACCGACGGACGGACGGCCGGACGTACCAAAATTTGATGTTTATGAGGCAATTGAGCTCATAAACACCACCTGGACCAACGTCCATAAGCAAAATAAGCTCATAAAAACAAAAAATAGCTCTTAATTTTAAATTTTATGAGTTTATGTTCTTTATTTAACTACGGAATGAAGCTCATAATAATCAAATGTTGGCTCGGACAGCCGGACGGACGGGACAGACGGACGGACAAGCTGATTCCAGTATACCCCCCTTACAACTTTGTTGTGCGGGGGTATAAAAAGTTTATTAATGTAGCTTTTATCAAATTACCACAATTTGGCGGAGAAGAGGACCATGTTCCGTCCAAGTTACATGTTGAAACTTCGCTTCCAGAAAGTGTATAACCTGTATTGCATTGGAAATTTGCCACAGACATTGTACCATTTGTACTGATGGCAATATTACCATTCTCTGGGGCTGATATATCCTCACAGGTTTCTGGAGAAATAAAAGACTAAATAAAATTCTGGAACTAAAATAATTAAATTATCAAATTGCAGTTAATTCAGTATAATTTCCGAAATTCATTCCTTAAAACTTGATGTTTGCAACAGTTTGATTTTACTATTATATTATCTCTATGACATTTGTAAATTCAATGAAAGCCATACATACTCCGGTAAGAATTTACAATATAATTACATAACATTAAATATACACTTACCACAAGTAAAGGCAGACACTGACCAGATGCCTGTATCTGTGCATTCAATGTTTGGTTCCCCAACAAGTGAAGTTCCCACAGCACAGGATACCTCGGCAGACGTTACGGAACCATCAGATGATAACTCTATAGAACCATTCTCAGGAGAATTCAAACTGCCGCACTCAACTGTAACAAAAATTGAAACTCTTATACAACTGGTAGGTATTTAAGCTATTAAGAAATGGTCAACATTTAATTGTCTCAAAGGAGCTCAAATGAGGTCAAAAGGCCTAAAACATAAAATTTGAATTTCTTACATAGATTAAGTGAAGCACTAAAATGGACTTTTAGCATGATTTGTGTGAGAAGCGTTTTTTCATTTTTGGGTCATTTTGCACAATGAAAAATTAATGATGATTCTTGCAAAATGGGTTAAGAAAATGATCTGGAACAATCTCAGTAGAGTCTCTTTAAATATTCCAAATTAACAAAAAATTAGTGTTTTGAAGGAAAATACACTGTATAATAATGAGGCTGGAACAGGGCTACAGTTTGATCATTAAAATGAAGAATAGGAGTAAATTTTAGGCTTTTCAACATAAAAATGTGGTGATCTGAAGCAACCACCAACTACATAATACCTGGTCAGAATGCAGGGAAGTCTGACTCTGCAAAGGTGGAACTTGCCTATCATTCAAACACCTTTATAGTTTAGATAGCATATGATTCAATTCCCAAACCAGCTGGAAAAAAACCCAACAACCTTAAAACATTCATTAAAATTCTACTATACCACATAACGGCTGAACTGAATCCCAGCCAAGTCCATTGCTTTGGCACACTTGGTTTTTCTCTCCATTTATTGTAAACCCTTCCAGACATGTATATGTAATATCAGATCCATTAGAACTTATATTGTAGTAACCATTTGTAATAGATGGAGGCAGATCACATCCTTCAATATGAAAATAGAACAAATTTTATAAACATTTTATTCATAGTTGGCAAGGTTAAGTTTTATTGGTAAAATATATTTACAAAGATAAAAGCTATTTTGCCAAAGGACAAACACATCCCTGAAAATCAAGTTAAAATCAATCCACCTTGTTGGTTTAGGTTAACCTCGGATGTTCTCACAAATTGATACTTATGTGGCTATGCTATTGTTCTCTCCATTGTTCTTTTAGCCACGTATGAGAATATTTTAGCCACATAAAAGACTAAATAAATAGAATTTACAGTTATATATTGTCCTCCTAACCACAAAAGTATCCAAATGTGTGCTCATACAAATGGATGGACAGATCAATTACAATATGCTAGAGGACATAAAAATAGTTATGTAGAAAACTTTAAGAACCAAATTTATGGTAATGCTTCAAACATGTATTTTTATCTGTTGACATTCATCCTCTTTGAATAAGGACATAAAAAAAATTTGTCACAAATATTTCAATTGGTATTCAAACAAAACAAACAAGAGGGCCATGATGGCCCTGAAGTCGCTCACCTGTGTATAGGCCCCGGAGCGGGGCCAGTTTAATCACCAGGGCTTTTATTTGAACAAACTTGGTAGACACCCATTAGAAGATATTTCATGCTAAACATCTAAGGTCTAGGTCGTTGGGTATTTTAAAAGAAGATTTTTTAAAGTTTTTTCTTTACACATACATTCAAAAACAATAACATACCTGGGGCAGGGCCAGTTTTGACCCCAGGGCTTTTATTTGAACAAACTTTGTAGACACTTACTAGAAAATGTTTCATGCTTAATAGCTAAACTCTAGCTATTTGGGTTTTTTCAAAGAAGATTTTTAAAATTTTGCTATACACATATAAAGAAAATCAATGTCCCCCGGGGCAGGGCCAATTTTGACCCCAGGGCTTTTATTTGAACAAAATTTGCAGACACTCACTAGAAGACGCTTTGTGCGTAATATCCAGTGCTTAATATCCAAACTATAACTATTTGAGTTTTTTCAAAGAAGATTTTTTAAGTCTTTGCTATACACATATAAAGAAAATGAATGACCCCTGGGGAGGGACCAACTTTGACCCCAGGGCTTTTATTTGAACATACTTTGTAGACACTAACTAGAAGATGTTTCATGCTTAGTATCTAAACTCTAGCTATTTGTTTTTTTTTTTCAAAGAATATTTTTTAAGTTTTTGCTATACACATATAAGGAAAATCAATGACCCCCTGGGGCGGGGCCAATTTTGACCCCAGGGCTCTTATTTGAACAAACTTTGTAGACATCCATTAGAAGATGTTTCATGCTAAATATCTTAGCTCTAGCTCTTTGGGTTCTTTAAAAGAAGATTTTTTAAAGTTTTTACTATATGCATATAGGAAAATCAATGACCCCCTGGGGCGGGGCCAATTTTGACCCCAGGGCTTTTATTTGAACAAACTTGGTAGACACTCACTAGAAGATGTTTCATGCCAAATATCTAAGCTCTAGCTCTTTGGGTTTTTTAGAAGAAGATATTTAAAGTTTGTTTTTTTTGGTTGCCATGGCAACCAGAGTGCTGCATGGAATTAAATTCTTTGAACAATTTTTAAAGGTGACCACCAAAGAAACATTCCTGTGAAGTTTGGATGAAATTGGCTTTTGTGGTTTATGAGGAATGTCTTTTAAAGAAAAATTTTAGGGGACGCCGGCCACCCGGAATAAATTTTCACAAAAGCTCCCCTGTCATTTTACGGGTGAGCAAAAATAATTTAATTCTCCATGTTATTGTTTTTTTTAAAACTTTAAATAAAATTTTCTTATAGTGTCTTTGTAAACAATATTCCACTATCTATCAAGACCTTTGAGTCATTACTAGATTATATATAAACATCTGATAAAAAATTTCCTGGTTATTTGATATAAAGTCACATTTACATGCAAATGGAACAATTTAGATATCACAAAGTCATGATTTTGTGACTTTGCTCAGGTGAGCTATAAGAACAAAACATTCTTCAATTGTATCATTGGTACTATAAAGTGACAGCATTGCTTAAATTAAATTATACAACTGATATAATAAACAAGAGGGCCATGATGGCCCAAAGTCGCTCACCTGTATATAAGGCCCCTGGAGCGGAGCCAGTTTAAAACCCAGGGGCTTTTATTTGAACAAACTTGGTTTGTAATATGTATGCATGCATATATATATATATATATATATATATATATATATATATATATATATATATATATATATATATATATATATATATCATATGTATATATATATGTATATATATATATCTATATATATATATATATATATATATATATAATATTATACATTTATATATATATATTTATATATATATATTTATATATATATAAATATTAAATATATAGTGTATATATATATATATATATATATATATATATATATATATATATATATATATATATATATATATATATAATTTTTTTTATATATATATATATTATATATTAATATATATGTGTATATATATAATATGTATATATCTAAAAAAAAAGTCAAGCTAATGAATGACCCCCGGGGCGGGCCAATTTTGACCCCAGGGCTTTTATTTGAACAAACTTGGTAAGATCACCATGAGAACATGTTTCATGCTAAATATCTTAGCTCTAGCTCTTTGAGTTCTCTTTAAAAGAAGATTTTTTAAGTTTTTACTCATATGCACATAGGGAAAATCAATGACCCCGGGGGCGGGGCCAATTTTTGACCCCAGGGCTTTTATTTGAACAAACTTTTGTAGACACTCATTAGAAGATGTTTCATGCTAAATATCTTAGCTCTAGCTCTTTGGGTTCTTTAAAAGAAGATTTTTTAAGTTTTAAACTATATGCATATAGGGAAAATCAAAGACACCCTGGGGCGGGGCCAATTTGACCCTAGGCTTTTATTTGAACAAACTTGGTAGACACTCACTAGAAGATGTTTCTATGCTTTATATCTAAACACTAGCTATCTGGGTTTTTTCAAAGAAGATTTTTAAGTTTTTGCTATACACAGTCATATAAGGAAAATCAATGACCCCCCGGGGCGGGGCCCAATTTTGACCCTAGGGCTTTTGATTTGAACAAACTTTGTAGACACTCAACTAGAAGATGTTTCATGGCTTAATAGCTAAACTCCAGCTATTTGGGGTTTTTTTAAAGAAGATTTTTAAAGTTTTTGCTATACACATATAAGGAAAATCAATGACCCCGGGCGGAGCCAATTTTGACCCCAGGGCTTTTATTTGAACAAACTTGGTAGACACCCATTAGAACATGTTTCATGCTAAATATCTTAGCTCTAGCTCTTTGAGTTTCTTTAAAAGAAGATTTTTTAAGTTTTTACTATATGCATATAGGGAAAATAATCAATGACCCCCTGGGGCGGGGCCAATTTTGACCCTAGGGCTTTGATTTGAACAAACTTGGTAGGCACTCATTAGAAGATGTTTTCATGCCAAATATCTAAGCTCTAGCTCTTACGGTTTTTTTAGAAGAAGATTTTTAAAGTTTTTCTTAATGGTTGCCATGGCAACCAGAGTTTTTTTAATGGAATTTAAATTTTTGAACAACTTTGAAAGGGGTCCACCTAAGGATCATTTCTGTAAAGTTTTGGTTGCCAATTGGCCATGTAGTTTAGGAGGAGATGTTGTTTGAAAAGTTTGACGCCATTTTTTGAAGGACGCACGACGCACGACGCACGACGCACGACGGACGCAGAGTGATGACAAAAGCTCACCTTTGAGCACTTCGTGCTCAGGTGAGCTAAAAATAACGTATTGACAATAAAGTACAAAAATGCAAATAAGATAATGATAACTAGAATTATCGCTGAATGGGATTCATAACCCTACCAATGTCCTTGACAGAAGACGACTTGGAAAGGTGGTTAAGAGAATAACTTAAGTGGCACAAATACATATACATAAAAAAAATTATCTCTGGTGAAAAAAGACTAACTGTACAGGTATTAGTATAAATATATATTGTCAAATCATGTTCGAAACAGTTACAAATAACCTTTCATTTTCCCAATGTACTAGAGATTTTCTAAGTCAATTTTTTACCTTCAAGCGTGGCCTTGACCTTAAGCTGGCACAAGGGTAAGATGGGTTCTGCACATTGCCCAGTTGGGGTGAACATTTGAGTAAAGTTTGAAGAAAATCCTTCCATTAGTATAGAATTTATAGAGTGGACATAACATATTGTCTAATATTGATTGTATGTAAATTTAAAGACTTAAAAAGGGGCATAATTTTGTCAAAATGCAATACAGAGTTATGAAACTTGACCAGCATATCTTATTTGTGACACCTCATATATCCTTTAAGTTTCAAACAAATACCTGTGCTAGTTTCAGAAATATTCAAGTACATGTTAAAATTTAAGTCAACTTTTGACCTTCAAGAGTGACCTTGACCATCAGTCAGCACAAAGGTAACATGGATTCTGCACATAATAGCCTAAGAGCCAAGGGCCATTTAATCAAAATTTTTGTCCAAATCTGAAACTTACACCAGAGTAAGTATAAAGTCTCTCCTTTACAAAAAACTAAATCTTACAAAATTTTGCTTTCACAACGCTTCAGAATCCAAGATGGCGTCCAATATGGCCGCCGATTTTATGCAAAACGAGTATATATCTTATTACGGTAAATTTTACAGCAAAAATTATGCCGTTTTCAATAAAAAGAAGTGCAAACATTTCAGAAGTAATCAAGTTATGATTAAATGACATGAAATATATAGCTTTTTAGGTTTTTGTCTTAAATTTTTCAAAATATCAAAGAAAAATGCCTATTTTTGGCAGATTTTTGTAATATGGTTACCTAAAAATAAGAAAAATATTCCATATAGACTCTAAATTTCTAACATTGTTTTGTTTTTCATAAATACTATGTGTGTATTAAATTGTTATTACAAAAAATGCAAGAAATTGCATAATTTGTAAATTTTATAGTTGA